ACACACATAGACACACACCCACATACATAGACACACACACACACACACATACACACACACACACATTCACACACACACAGATCCAGGTGGTTTGTGTCTCTGATGCAGCTAAAGACAGACGCAGGAGGAGAGACTCCCTCTGAATGATCCAGACATCATGAAATGAAGTGGCAGTTGTTCTGTCTCGACTCTCAGGTGTTTGACGCTCATGTCTAGACAACTGATTACAGCAAATGAGAGGCAGACAGACACAATAACACAGAGAGAGAAAGAGAGAGAGATGTCTGAATACTGGAGCTCATCCGTGAGCTGTAGTGAAACTCCACATGAGTGTCAAATGAGCAAAATCATATTTCAAAATCATGGAAAATGTCAATATTTTAGTCATGTTTGGTTATCTGTGTTTACAGTTTTATCTTGATTGCTAACATTCGTGTTTCAATTCATGAAACAATTCACCATTTTATCACAACTATAAACACAATTTTAAAAACTACACACAGACTTCAGATATTCAACTATTTTAGTCAAAAACTTATTCTCTTTTATCAGAATCTAAACTTTGGCCTCAGATGACACACAGACCTGTCAAATACACAGACTACTGCACAGCCTAGAGAACACTAGTGAGATCAGTTCAAAACACTGTTACAAAAACCTGCTTTTGGGGAATCAGGAATCATTTTGCAAGTCAATATCTGTTACAGTATGCAGCATAAATAGAGCGGTGCAGATACAGTCAAATTTAGCAATAAGCTTTAAGAAATGTTTACTTTCATTACACTGCTGTAAAGAGATCTTACAGTAGATGAAAAGGTCAAATATCAAAAGAATTGAATATGAACACAAAATAGAATATACTTAGTTCTGCAAAAATACAGTACAAATCAATTCAACAGTTACGAGTTTGAGGGTATACAATTTTTGTACATGTATATATATACAATTTGTATGTATGTATGTATATATATATTAGATATTTAAATATACAGATATTTAACCCTTCAATGTCTGCAGCAGGTACAAAACAGAGTAAAATATTAAATACATCCCATACGGAAATGTAATGACATACTGTATATCTCTCTATATCAAGAGTGATTGTTACCTATAAAGCTATATATAATTTTCACATACATACATTCTCTGGGAAGATGAAGATATGAGTTTATGACATATATAAAATTCCCATAGTAAAATTTGTATGTGTGCACATGTTAATAATATCTATATGATGATTTTTTATGTGGTATCATATGTAGCAACCATATGTCAACAATGTATATTTGATTTATATATGCAACTTTATTAAAACAACATATCTGTATGTTTATATATATATACATATATATTCGTAATACGTTTTTTAAATACATTTCTACCGTTTATATTTACTTATATAATATCAACATGTTTTGACAGGTTTTAGAATGGATATACGTGACATATATGTCCAAAAATGTATTACACATACATAAACATACATATTTGTATATATGTTAATATATTAAATTGTTCCAATTTCTAATATGTTTTTACTTCATATGACAATATATTTCAGTTATGGATATTTAATATATATACGTACAGTATATAACATTCGAATATGGGGTTTCATAAACGTTCTATCCAGAACTGCGTGTTCATCTCAATAATGCTGAGCTCTTCTGCTCTATTTCTGGATCAAACAGATGAAGACAGAGAGGAAACTTGCTCAACAGAGTTTTGCTTTCTAACATCATGTGAGCGTCCAGCCGTATGAATCATCATCTCTAAAGGTCTCAGACAGATTATGTTATCAGAGACCCAGAGTCTGATCAGGACACAGAAGAGCTGAAGATGATCAGTAAAGAGAAAAACCTGCTTAAATAGTGTTGTGTGAGCAATGAGCGAGCTGATACCTCAGACTCAATGTTATATGTGTTTCAATCACTGTTGCCTGACGCATTTGCCATTCCACTATTGCAGCTGTCTAGTCAATGTACCTGTAGAATGTGACAGTCCAGAGATGCGAGAGGAGGCCTCAAAAAGTGTGTGTGTGTGTGTGTGTGTGTGTGTGTGCGTGTGTGTGCGTGTGAGTGTGTGTCTGTGTGTGTGTATGTGTGTGTGTGTGAGTGTGTGTTTTTTGAAAATCTAAAAATGCAGAAAGTTTCCTGTGAGGGGTAGGTTTAGGGGTAGGGTTGGTGTAGGGCAATAGACTGTACAGTCTGTACAGTAGAAAAACCATTACGCCTATGGAGAGTCCCCACAAGGATAGCTGACCAGACGTGTGTGAGTGTGTCTGTGTGTGTGTGTGTTTATATACAGATGAGATGCAGTTTGTAAGATATAAACTGTTATGCGAGGAGAAAAAAGTGCAATCTGTCACTCAATTATTGTTCTTAACAAGCTGCTTCATGACATTTAGAACACTTCTAATATCAATTTTGTATGATAGTGAATATAATTGCTAAAATAAAGACTTTTATATCTTTCTCTGCAACAGTATAAAAAAATCAATCAATCAATCAAGTAATTACAACTTTTTATCTCACTATTCTGACCTTGTTTCTCACAAGGTCATGGGTTCGATTCCCAGGGAATTCATGAACTGATCAGTTGTATACCTTGAATAAAAGCGTCTGCAAAATGCATAAATGTAAATGTCATGTCATGACACGCTGCAGACTGCATCAGTACTGCGCTCCGGGTCACTGAGAGCCTGACAGAGGTCAGATTGTGACGGCAGACGGACACACCTTTCACGAGGTTGCTCTGACACGCTAAACAAACTACTGACCAAACTATATTTAACTATTCTAATGTGTTAAGAAGCTCGTACAGGTGTGGCCATCAGCTTCTGCAAACACACCGGAACTGTTTGCATTACTTATCTGTGCAGAATAATGACATTTAGTATTAGTCTGGGGTACTGGTTTTAGTTTAATGTTTTTAGGTAAACTTTTATTAAATATGTTTAAGTTTATGTGCACACATTTTACCATAACAGGAATTAAAGGAATAGTTCACCGAGAAATGAAAATGTGCTGAAAATGTCCTCACGCTCAGGTGTGAATCAGGAGAGAAATCTGCACAGATCAAGCAGCGTTTAAACAGCTTTAAACTAATATGTGGATGGATTTTGATGTGAGAGACAACAGCAGATGCACCTTTTCACTGCAGGAAGAGTTATTATGGATTATGGACTCGTATAAAAGCGTCTTAATGCTGGATTAGTTTCAGTTTTTGTCTTCTCCAGATGTTAACTGATGGACTGGAGTGCTGTGGATTACTTGTGGATTATTGTGATGTTTTTATCAGCTGTTTGGACTCTCATTCTGACGGCACCCATTCACTGCAGAGCATCCATTGCTGAGACACTGATGCAATGCTACATTTCTACAAACCTGATGAAGAAACAAACTCATCTACATATTAGATGGGCCGAGGGTGAGCACGTTGTCATTTTTGGCTGAACTATGCCTAGAAATGGCGTTTTTGGCCAGAGGAGGGCGCTTATTCTCTCAAATGGCGCTCAGAGGAGTCAGTCTGTCAGGAGCACAATGATACTGCGACACTCACACTGAACATATGAATCATGCTAATATTTCACAATGCAACACATTTTAGCCACGTTACGTTTCTAATTCAAATTTCAAGTTAGAGGGCACTGATAATAAACGAGTGACAATTTCGAGTCTGTCTGTAATAGCCTTGGTAATTCTTTTCCACATATAAACTCTAAACGTGTGTAAACGTGTGTTTTCTATTGTGTCAACCCCCCGGTTGACTCTGATTGGCTCATGCACTCTGTGAAAGGCCAAGTCTGGCAGTGACGTGCTGCAGTCTGCCTCTAAGCCCCGCCCCCCCCCGCGCGCGCTAGCCCCGCCCCTCTCGGGTTCCCAGCCAACTTGGACTTGAATGAGGTGCGCGCAGACGGCTGGAAAGTAGTACTGACCGTCTGGGAATAACACCGGGAATAACACCGGGAATACTGGAGGACAGAGGCCAGACAGCGGGACGGGGGTGGGGGGACGGAGGCTAAAGGAAAGCCGCTCCACAGCTGCCTGGAAGAAAGAAGCGTTGCCGAAAAAAAGAGGAAAAGCCTGCGTCGATGTTCGTCCGTTTTCCGCGTCGATCCGTGAGATTTCTCCGATGTTCAGCTTCATGGGTCTGATGAACGGAACCACCGACACCCACACCAATGTCTCCTGTACGTGTAACTGCAAGAGATCCACTTCATTCCAGAGTATGGCGATCAGTGAGTATCCCGGGCGCGTTGCTTCACTAGACGATCCGAATCGCGGCGCTGGTTAAACTGCATTGCGATTCGAATCGGCTTTCTTTTGTTTTTTGTTTAGTTTTTATTAACGGGCATTTATTCAATCCCGCGATGTATTTATGCTGTTACGTGGCTATTTAGACTCATTATGTGTTGGGTAACCTCTCAGATAAACTCCTGGGAAAGTTTTGACGCGGACTAGTTTAGGTCGCGTAAGGATCCGGTTAGTAGGTGAAGCGGTCAGAGACAGCCAGACTCGTAGCTCGCTAAATATGAATTATGATCGAATTCATGTGGAGATGTTTGTGTTTACGGATGATACTGAATAAGGATGATATCTGTGCACTTGTCAGCCTCATTCAGGATGATCTGTTGAACGCAACAGATATTTTGAAGAATCTAGTCCCTAGGTTTTGCTGTTTGGTTCATTCTTCAAAATATCTTCTTTGGCGTTCAACAGAAGAAAGAAGATTTGGAACAATGTGAGTAAATGATGCCAAAATGTTAATTTTTGGTTGAACTCTCCCTTGGTTTTTATTCAGACTGTGTTGCAGTTTCCTCACATGATGATATTATGATGTAATAACGTGCATATTTACATAAGTGAAGTGTTTTGAGGTCCTCAGGCCGGTCTGTTTATCAGACGGATGTGGTTTGCTCTCAGACAGTCAGACGGTTGTGTGTGTGACGTCTGCTCTGAAATCCTCGGCTGGGAGTTGCCCGACTAATACTTAATTTGTAGTGACTAACTTATTGTTCATGCAGCTGCCCCTGTTGTCCAGCAGACTCACTCATTCGTGGAATTCTCTCTGATTAACCCTCTTGCAAAATCTGTCTGCAGTTTCCAAGTAATCTTTCCTAAAGGAAAAGCTGAACAAATAACAAGGTGATATCAGTAAGAACTCGGCGTCTTGGGAAAAGGTCTGCTGAATTCCAGAACAGAACTTGCTGTCCAGTAATAAATAATGTTCCTTGCGATCAAACGTCTCTATCTCTGTTTTCAGACGTTGTCTTGCCCTTGTTTGTCTAGACAGACTCTCAGTCACGCCTGACCTGATGATGTTCTCTGGAAATGAAAGCTAGTTTATCAAGTCAGTCAGAGTTTGTTCTGAAGCGCATGAACTCTTCAACGGCTTGATTTGAGTTGTTTCTCGAGTGGGACTTGTTTTGATTATTTTTATTTTGCTGCTGTCTGTGAGGCTCTCTTGTTCCTGGACACGTCCTGACTGGGATTTCACAAGTTGACTAAAATGTCCAGGTTTTGGCTTATTTGTGTGTTTGCATCGCTTTGGTTGTTCTCTGTAGATCCCGCCTTCTCACACGCCACGATTGGTCGATTGTGTAGAATGCCTGCACGCTATTGGTCAAACTGCTTTAAGTCATTACCTTGTTTAAAAGCAATAGGAAAACAAAGCCAAATCTTGGACACTTTAGACAATTTAGAAATCCCGGCCAGGACATTTGGTCACCTGGTCATCCTGGCTTCTGTGAACATGAAGAGTTCGATTAAGACGTGAAATCTCAGTGATGTTATTTTTAGACACATTTAAGCTTCGTTCCTGTTATGTTTTTGTCGATAATGCAGCCATGCTTGATTGTTGTCAGACGCACAAATCTAAAGATCATCATCTATGCAGCACATGTATCAAATTAAAGGAATAGTTCTTCCAAAAACCAAAATCCTGTGATTAATTACTTACCCTCATGTGTGAATAAAAAGCCCAAATTAAATCTACTGTGCCTTTATACACTTTTTGAAGCATTTACCCCATTGAAGTTTTCTTTTAATGACTTTCAATCACTCAGGTTTCATTAAAAATATCTTAATTTGTGTTTTGAAGATGAACAATGGATTATGGATTTGTTATGACACAATGACAGAATTTTTTATTTTTACATATTTACATAATTTTCATTTTTACATTTACATATTTGATAGGGCTGTATGATTTGAGGAGAAAATTCTCATTACTGTATATATATATATA